TAAATGCATTGCTTTCCACCACTGGAATGGCAAATGGATTTGTTTTGAGCGCAAACTTTTAATTTAGTTTTAGTCCAAACATTAACCTCTCGCACAGTATATTGTAATGTATGTGTGGTATCGGAAAACTTTTATATCGAGTTTTTGTCTTTTAAGCCCACAATGGCTTATGTGTTGATCACGTATTGGCGTTAAATCAATTGGTTGTGCGATATATCGCCCGAAAACGATAATCATTACGAAAGCTCTGGAATTCATCACATTTGGCGACTGCAACCCAAACAGTAGAGAGAAATGGCACCAAAACTGGGTTCAGTATCAAACGAGTCGTTATTTCTTCATCTGATGGCACGCATCGACGCCTCGCGAGTGAAGGCTAACCGCAAGCGGTCGATGGGGGCTGAGGTCCGGACCCTCGAGTTCTGGAGAGCTATTATAGCCGAGTGTTTGGCCGCCTTTTTCTACGTATTCTTGTTATGTGCGACACATATCTCGTGGACGGGCTCACACTTAGCCCATCAGCCCAATTGGCTCATCATGTCATTCACGAGTGGCTGTGCGATGGCCACCCTTTCCCAGTGTTTCGGACATATCAGCGGCGCTCACGTGAACCCAGCCGTCACGATAGCCCTATTCGTCACCTCTAAGATCACACCTCTTCGGGCACTACTCTATGTGATCGCACAGTGCGGGGGATCTATCGCTGGCGCAGCGCTTCTCTATGGGTAAGGGATCTCATTACTCTTCGTATGTCTCAGCGATTCACTCATTCAGATGTTGGACGCAGTGTTTCATGGCTTTGCTTGCCATCGATAGGGCAAAGAAATAGCTTTAAGAGTGAGAGTATAAGCGAACATAACGTATAATAAATGATTGAATCGTTTTTTAGCATTACTTCCATCACTATTACAATGACTTCAATGACTTGTGATATTGAAGTGGAGTTTAGGCTAATGTTCGCCACTATTATAATGCGCTGAACTCCTAATGCCTGGCAATTGCTGTATTGCTGTCGACATAACAATGTTTGCCATTAAGACGAGTCATTGATGAGCTATAACTTCACATTTTTTACTGACGGAAGAATTGCCTATTCTTTACATATATATTAGTTTTTTGCTTTACTTCTCATTTAAACGAGAATCGCTCGTAAAGAGTGAAAAACATTAACTAGAGTTTGCAGAAAAAAGTGTTCAAATTTTTATTGTCTAAAAAACGACTCATTTTGCGCTCGGATTCCGTGTTCTCACAGTATTTTATTTGCTTTTCTTATTATTTTTCTTATTTATTTATGAGTGTTGTATGGCTTAGGAATCAATTTTTTGAGAGTTATATTTGGTTTCGGGATTTTTTGATCCGAAATGTACACCCGATTTGTGTACTCTTTTATCTCTTTCGGCACTACTTTTTTATCCCAGAGTCAAGAATTTTAGGTCACAGACTGTATGAGTGCTATGAAAATCATTACTCATTTTAATGCCGCTATTATTCAGTTCGGAGTTTTGCGAAAACAATGGCACTATATTTTACATAATAAAGCAAAACACAAAACAGAAAACCATTATATAATGTTTGCAGAGTTCGTAAAACAAAACAACAAAACAAACAGTTATTATTATAGTTAGCAATGAATTGAGTGCAAAAAACATTTTCGCGTATAACAAGTGTTTTAATTACTCTCAATATGTATTCAATATCTGGTTCTATGAGTGCATTAAATCATTATACGATATACAACTGGTATTACAGAGACGTGAGATAAGATATGTGTTGCAATTATTTGCCCAAAAGCTGTGATCCAATTACTCGGCTCCATGTGATGGCACCGATAGGACAGTCAGTATAATAGAGAAGTCAATACATGAAATAGTGGTGTGTATTAAGTGATGCACTGCTGTCGAGCACTTTTTAGGGCGAAATCAATCAATATATACACCAAAATTGCCTCAAAGGGATCGCTGGAGAAAATATTTTTTTCGTCTCACTCTTAGGCTGAGCTTTGGCTCAGAAAATATCAGTTAATTCTGGCGAGTCTTCTGTAGAAGAAATTCCTGTTTTTCTCTTTCCTTCTTATTATGTAATATATTGTCACGAAGTGAGTGGATATATAAGTTATGCAAACCTGAAGATTGAATGCCAATAAAAAGCAATTTATATGTTGAGACACACAACCAGATTGAATGGCATCTCAGCTAACAGTACACAGTGTACTACACACAAGAGTCGATACATACTATGGGTTAACATAAGTTTCAGTCATTTTCAAAAGCTTTTGTCAAATTCTTGTCGTCCTATTAGTGTTGTTTGAGATATATATTTGGCAACAGAGAGAAAACATATAGTGTACCAAAAATATAAGAGAAAATTCAGTGAATTTCTCGTTGTATTACAACCAAATAAAAGCTTGAGTTTCAACAGCGGGAGGTATACGTAGTCTCTCTTACCATTGAATCCATCGTCAAAATGTTTGCTCTGACATAACATTCCGTTTTTTTCCTCATTTTTTGTGAGAAAAAATAAATAATAAATAAATACAAAACCAATAGTCTGTGAGCGAAGAGTGGATAGAAAATGAATAGAAGTCTCTCTCTCTCTCTCTCTCTCTCTCTCTCTCTCTCTTCGCTTTCTTTCTTTACTCCAAAGACTTCTAAATTGATATAAATTTAAATTCTTTTCCCTTTAATCTCATTCTTACAAAGTTTTTTAAAATACCCTTTTTGTCGGCGAATTAAGTATTGAATTTTTTGGCATATAAATTACAAACTCATTTCAATGCATTTCGGGTCAAATTAATAAGTCTCTCGTATTTTCTCATTTAGTAAAGTGTGTATTGAATTGTGTTTTATTGGCAAAAGTGCGCTTAGATTCTGGTCTCTGATATATACACAGCAAAGATGTATAGCTATTGGTGTTGTTTGATGTGATGCTGTGTTTAACACTTTTACTGCATTTGTGTGTTAATAGAAATTGCGTCAATGAATGGATGAATCAATGAATGAGACGCTGAATGGGAAAGGCTGTGGAAACTGCAGTCCTCAGCAGAATTGTCGACACAATCGTAAGCACTGACGAGAGAATCAGACAAAACATTGAGGCAAAGAAAAAGTGCTACAAATGTTTTGGGACTCAATGTTAAGACTAAATGCTGTCATTGATATTATTTCTACAAATGTCTCGTTGAGAGAACTGATTACAAACCATACAGTCTTTATATATACAGATAGAGTATAACGACTCCGGGAGAGTTAACTCAATAATAAAATGTTTGTATTTATTATATGCCGTCTATTGTATAACAGATTTTTGTTAACTTATTATCACTTTTTTATCCCTTTTCCCGAATATACACAAAATACACTCTTTTTGTATTCAATACTTTGATATTCTCTCTGATTAGATATGAGATCATAATAAAAGAAATGAGTTTTTGTGCCCTAAAAGCCCATCCATTTATTTGTTGAGCCTTTCAAAAGGCTCGTCATTTTCGGGCCTTTCGTTAAACAAGTATTTAACAAATGAAATATTTTTCTCCAATTCTATTGTTATGTTTTCTTCTCTAACATTGAAAAAATTTATTCAAGAGTATCGGTGCTCACAATTATATTCAGTTATATTCAGGTGCTATTGAGTGAAAACCAGAAGAATGGTTGTGTGGGAACGAGTGATGCCATTATGCCATACATTGTGTTAGCGCTTGTCTCAGACTCTCTCTCTCTCTCTCTCTCTCGCTCTCTCTCTCTCTCTCTCTCTCTCTCGCATACTCTTTGGGCGCTTCTCATCACTGCCTCAACTGTTGTCGTCTCTATTGAAGCGTAAAATATAATGAAAGAAAAGCAAAGTGAAGGAGGAATTTGATGCGCCAATAGTTTTATCATCAAATGCTAAATGAGAAACACTATACACACCATACATGTGATGTTCACAGTATAAAAATATATTAACTCTCCATTCGGTCTAATAGTGTACATAGAGTACATGTGTTTAACTTCCCCTTTGAACTCATGCGACCCCTCATCACATGAAATACCATTCAATTCAATCTTTCATTCAATTTGAAACTCTTTTTCCAAAGTATGTAAACAACAGAATGAGAGACCCTTTTGTCTCTCACTCTCTATCTCTTTTGAAAAAATAATTAATTTGTTTTCTAATTATTTGGTTATTTTGTTATTTTACTGCAAATAATACACAAACTCTACACAGACTAACAGAGTATAGCTTATTGTGTAAACACTAGAGAAAAATTATTCAAAAAATTTAGGTTCGCCTCAATCTATAATAGAGATGAGAGCGAGAGTATGAGAGAGAGAGAGAGAGAGAGAGAGAGAGCTAATTAATTTGATATTGAGTTAAAAAACAATCCTTTGCGTCAAGTTAAGTGAAAATTAGTGCAAAAATAATGTAATTCTAATATAGAATTTCAAATATGATTAACGATGCTTTGCCTGTCTCTGCACCAGTAGAGCACACACTTCATTGAGAGCACTGTTAGCTCACTGGCAGACCCTTTATATCCCATTAGCTGTCTCTCTCTTTGAACACAAAATCCTTTTTCTCTCACTTTTTCTTTATTTTCATCCCTTTTTTGTCGAATAGTTTTATGATATGTTGTTATCCTTTTGCAAAACCAAATTTGTTTCGATGCGAATATATATGCAATACATGTATTGAATAAAATGTACAAAAGTGGCCTTAAATGTGATAATATATAACTCGAGTCCAAAGAAATTGTGAGTAAAATAGAGGAGAAAGACCTTAAAACTCAGACAAACTTTGAGTGCACTGCGAGCTTAGCCATTGTCAGTGCAAATACCAGCGTACTGGTAGGTAGTGCTCTAATCCCGATAGTAAACTGACGGACAAAAAACTGCTGACAGTATATTCAACTACATTGTTGTCAGAAATGGATTATATTTTGAGACCATTTTTTCTCACAATCTCTTAATGTATTATCAATTTTTAGTGCTTTTTGTTTCAAAAGGCGACACAATTTTTTGTTGTTAATTCCGTTCATATAATGACAAATATAATGCACTTTCCAATAGGCTTTGGAGTTCATAAATATGTAGAAATGTATATAAAAATAATTTTCCATTTTTCACATAACATTCCGTTCCCACAGAATATATTATAGTTTTCATAAATATATTCCATCCTGATCCATTTGTTGCCTTTCGGTCAAAAATCTTTCGCTTAATATTTGCTAAGTTATACGTAAGACAAAGAAAATATAAAACACAAAATATTTTAAATAATAAGGACATCCATAACATGTGTTTCCATAATATTAATACAAAAGATGATTATCTTATTAGAAGACACTCTACTGTACGGCGAGAGAGAGAGAGAGAGAGAGCATAACGTTTGGCAAATCGCATAAAAAACTCGCCGACGGATTACATGATAGTCTTCCCCATAAAATGACAGGCGATTAGAAATAGCATCCGATTTGTTGCATATGTTGTCTGCATTCCTGTCGTATATTTTAAATTATTTGCTCCGACTATACGAGAAACTGAGTTGAAGGAGAGACACAAACTTTACGACACAAACACTTTGAATGTCTAAACCATTACGCGAAGTGAAGTAAAGTGTCATCAAAAATGACTTATAAGACAATAGAGAGGAACACCATCTTATATAATATGAACGCGTTTTCTATATGTTATGCCGTTATTGTATAGTATGGCTAACATAATAGCGTGCCGCGGATGAGGGGAAAGGG